TACCTGTTGAACAGTGTAATTGAAATTGTGTTTAGCTGAGAATACACAATCATTTCCTTATACAAAAGTCCAGCAATGTATTTTTGTATTTTTTCTGAATGGATTGCAGTTTTATATCTCATTTTTTTTTCAGTTTTATAAAATAAAAAGGAAATTCTCTGTATCTGTAAATAGCCACACTTGTGGATTCCGTAACATAGGAAGCTGACCTTAACATGGTCTGATAATGATTATATGTTTATGATGTTGGACACATTTCATAGCAGTGTTCTGCAGGTCTGTTAAAAAAACTCTCTTCAAATTGATTATATTACAGAAATGTTGCTGCGGGCTCCCCGAGCCTGGCATGCAGAATTATATATAATTTACTCTTAATTGACATGCCTGTGCAAAACGTCACAGAGCAAACTGCCTCCAAACATGAATCTCTGCGCTGCTGTGGTAAATCAATTTTTTATTGGATAACATTTACTCCTCTGCATTTGCATGCAGCTAAAGTGGAATTCCTGCATTATGAATTGTACGGAAATAATTATGGAGGAACTATAGCCTAATTAAAGGGAAACTATTTATTTAGACCTACAAGGTAATGATCTGAGAATCTACGCCAGCGGAAAAAAAAAATATTCATTATGTCTCTCCAATACTTGCACATTTCCCCATGATTTAGCCCTTTCGAAAGCTGCAAGGATAGAAAAATATCTGTTGAAATCCAAACCCATGTTTTGTCAGCCCTGATTGCTGGACTACAGAACCTTGCCATTCCCTCACCCCATATTGTCCCCTCCATTATTTCTATTCCGGCAATTAATGCTGCCACCTTGACCCCCAGAGCCTGTCAACACACTGGGGTTGACGTTCTAAGTGCAAGGGAAGTTGCAGTTTTCAAGGGAATGATCCCCAGTGCTTAGTGAATGAAAGGAAGCTCTGCTGACTTCCATCATCCAATCATGTGCAAGCAAAAATGCTGTTTTTTATTTTCCTTGCACTCATGTGGGTATTCTTTGCAAATTGAAACTTCACCACATTTTGTAAGCTCTGGAACAAATTCCTTTGCAGACTGAACTGCCTTTTTGCCTTTATTTTATTTATTTATTATAGGTACTTGTATATCGCCATCAATTTACGCAGCGTTTTACATATATATTGTACATTCACATCAGTCCCTAACACTCAAGGGGCGTACAATCTAAGGTCCCTAACTCCCATCATACATACACATACTAGGGCCAATTTAGAAAGGAGCCAATTAACCTACTAGCATGTCTTTGGAGTGTGGGAGGAAACCAGAGTACCCGGAGGAAACCCACACAGGCACAAGGAGAACATGCAAACTCCAGGCAGGTGGTGCCGTGGTTGGGATCCGAACCAAGGATCCTAGTACTGCCAGGCAGAAGTGCTAACCATTTAGCCATTTTGATATATACTCACAACCATTTAGCCACTGTGCTGCCTTTAGTAAATCAATCCGACTATGTATAGGTAAAGGTCTCAAGGGAGATGTAGTTCTGGGGGTGTGCCTACATCAAAGGAACTGAGCTACCAGCAGCTGCCCCTGCAAGAATTTCACAAGTCTGATGATGAGGTGACTGGAACAAAGTGCCAAATTTTGCTGGGATGTTCTCTAGCAAAAGAGAGGGTGGTTTCTCCTGGTAAAAAGAAAAACACACATTCTTCTCTCCTCTGTTTAAAAATACCCTTTTGACAAACCTTAAAGGGACACTACACTCTGGTTTAAAAAATTTAAATTCTATTCTAAGTATGTCCCTTCTATTGCTCTCAGCTGCCTCCAAATCTCCAAATTCCTTTTTTTCTACAGTGATCTGACTTCCTGTTAGAGGTTGGCTACATTCGGGCTCCATTGTCCCATTGTATGTAGGAATGTAGCCACCCTCTCTTACTCCCTCCTGAGATGGACTATGGACTATGGGATTTGTAGTGTGCATAGCACAGTGCGTGTATTGACTGTTTTTTTATGGTTGAATTGTGAACTATTAACCTCCCTAGCAGTCTGATTATGTCCATATTTCTGTGCTCAAAGCGGTACATTTTTTTGCATGGAAATATGTATTTTTTTTATTGTAGGCCTGTAATTTTTGGGAATAACTCACTGAAATCTGTCCGAACAAGAGTCTAGTAAACATCCCGGATATGATAAAACTTGAAACACGAAATCATAAATTATACTTTAATAAATAATCATAAAAAATAATAATAATAAATTCAATTCAATAATATAACCAAACCAAAAACACTGAAATTTGAAATAGAGCGCCAAGTTCGCACATCACTGAGCAAAGTTGCAAAATTGTTTTCAATGTCTGATGACGAATTTCCCCACAAATCATTATCACTCAATTCTGCAAGTGGTTCTGATTTACGATCGCTGTTCTCTAGCTGGTCTAAACCCGCTTTTGACCTAAAGGGACGCTTTTTGGACGCCATGGACGTTTCTCAGTTTCCAGGCAGAAAGAACAGTAAAAATGCAGGCAGGGCACAGGACAAAGCACTCGGGACAAAATGTATGTGACATGGTTTGATACAGTAATGTAATACTATGTGATTTTAGTGATTTTAGTGAATGTCACTTTTTGTCATTTTCAAATTTCCCGCCGTTCCGTCCCCCCTACGTCCCAACGCTCACAGGGACCGGACCCCAGATGACAGATGCCGGCATCTGCCGGAGGACATTGCCGGGGACACTGCAGGAGGGATAACGCGGGAGCGCAGGACAAGGTAAGTGATCGAGGGATCGCGGAGCAGCGCCGCATGGTAAGCCCGAGTGTAGCTCGGGGTTACCGCTTGTGGTACTGAAACTTTACCCCGAGCTACACTCGGGAATACCGCCAGGAATGCTACAAAATCTTCTTGAACCCATTTCTGTATGTATACATTGGGGTAAATTCTCTGGCACCCATTGAGGGGCCTGTTTGCTTTGGGCGCTGCCTCACTAAAACAGTGAATTTATCTGAAAACTCAAGATTTGATGGTTCAAGTAAACCTTAAAAATCCTAATACCTTTTTTTGCAGGAAATGCAGGCACAGCAGCGCAACCGCGGGCCGCAAATCCGCTTAAGTGTGAACGTAGTCTTAGACTATATAGAGTGAAATAAAAATCCTCTGGTGGCCACAATAGATCCCTTATGCGTATTTTGACTTTTTTTTAACCGTTTGTCTGGAGGTCAGCTTTACTTTAAGGTTCATATTTGGCTTTATGAGCATGTTAAAGGTTAAGTCAAAGCCAGATTTTTCAGTAGGACCAGTAGGCCACTCATCTCTGAAGATACAGAGTAATGAGCACTTCAGATGTGTTTTATGTGTTTATTTGGGAAGACAGCATCACATAAGTCATAAGAAAGCGACATTTCTGGGCCTCATGGGGTCCCTTTGTTAAGGCGATATCGTGACCCTTTGGGGACCCAAAACTGTATCTCCTTGAAGAAGCAACCCTTTTAGACCCGGAAATGTCATATTCTTATGACTTATGTGACTCTTCTCTTCTAAATGTGAAACACATTTATTTGAGTGCTGGTGACATCTTTGCATCTGGCTTTGGCATAGCACCATCCGTAGCAATCAATTTGAGCACCCAACAATTATTTGAAGGTCAAGTACTATGAGGACTGCAGCTTCTCTTTGGACTTTTATTGATTTTTTTTTTCTTTTTCTATATGGCTACACATTTTCCCATCATCAGGCTCCATTCACACCAGTGCGTTTTTTTTTTGTGCTTTTTGCAGAAACGCACTAAAGTCAATTTAACATGGTTTTCCTATGGAACATGCTCACATCTATGCTTTTTTGAGCTGCTGCTATTTTTGGAAAGGGTTGGGGACTTTTTTAAAAGCAAAAAGCAGCGATTTTGCTACAATAGAGTTCAATGGTGAATCTGCTGAAATGCATGGTAGTGTGATTTTGCCATGTTTTGCATTTTTATTCTGCCCAGCAAAAAAAAAAAAAATTCCACTTTATAAAAAAAAAAAGCTGAACAAAACACGGTAAACGCAGCAAAAACACATGTACCAAATGCAAAATAAACTGAGAAAAGCACTGCAAAACGAACAAAAAGCAAACTGTATAGGTGTTAATGGCGCCAGAAGTACAGTCTTCTCATATGAGCTTATTTACACATTGTCACGATATACTAAGCCCAGGTAGGACCAATCAAGAAAATGTTCTGTGTAAATGAGGCACACTTAATTCTGGTTCCGTAGGGCAGAGATTCCTGACTCCAATTCCACTAGAGTCTCTCTAATCCTCCATACCTATGATCATTCAGAATATTATTCACACTCCTTCTCTGCTTCATGGCGGTCCACTGGGAGGAAAACATACAGAGAAATATCATTCTTAGGCAAGGAGGTTGAAGAGTGCAGAAAAATCGGCTGCATTTGCAATTTATTAAGTGATTTTACTTGTTGTCCTTATTTGCCATTTAAAGTAGACCAAAACAGTTATATTATCATGTCATCTTTACCATTGTAAAGTAATTTTTAGATCCGCAGCCTACATTAAAGCAACACCTAGTGGTTCTGCTATGAGCTTCCTTGTTCAGGCATTTCACATTATAAAGTGACAACGCTCTGTCCCTGTCTCCCCAATGGTACCCTGCATGTCACCGTGATGGAGAGTCCACTGTTGTCACCATCATGATCCTGCCCAGAGAAATGATGTACCGCAGTTGCTGAAGCGCATGTAGACAGTAGTGGTTGCGAATCTGCTTCAGGAGATCAGCAGTGCTTATATGTGACAAAAGAGGTGAAAACAACAAGTGCTTTATTTAAAATAAAATATATATATAGTGGCAACGGGTACAACTTTGTTCCATCCAGGCACTGAATTGTACAACTTCAATTTCATTCTCATGGTATTTTCACTTGACTGTTTTGCACAGTCACATCTGTACTGCTATACTCTTTTGCAAACTCACTAAAGATGTATTAAACCAAATAATAAAACAATGGCAATTCTTTGTTATATACAGCGTTCAGCAAACTAAACAAAATAATTCAGTTAAGGATTACATCTGCTTTCATGTGTAGCTGCATCACTGGTCATATTACACTTATATCATAGCCTATTATACTCACCTGTCCCCAATCCAGTGAGATATCATTGTATAGCACAGCCGCTTGTCATTCCATCGCAGGGGCGGACTGACCATTTGGAAACTCGGGCACTGCCCGAGGGCCCGGCGTCAGTAGGGGGCCCCATGAGATGCCCCTGGTACCTTTTTCATAGGCTTTTTTGAGTTTGGGGCAAGGACACAGAGGCCCCATGATCCCCTATTGCCCGGGGGCCCCATGAGTTGTCAGTCTGCCCCTGTTCCATCGTGTGCTCTGTACTCTCATTTAGTCCCAAAAAGATTCAGGGTAGGTTCACATATGTGCGGGTAGTGACGCTGCGGATCCACACAAAAATCTGTGCAGCCGCACCACCCGCACAGAAGAATGCGGACCTGCGGGCGGGTGCCATTAATTCTAATGGCATGCCACCCGCACTGGAAATCGCAACCGCACAGGGAACCGAGGTTCCCGTGCGGGCTGCGGTTTCCAAAGAAGTGCAGGGACTTCTTCCCTGCATGTCATGGGGCACGTGAGTTCATTCAAATGAATGGGCTCTTGTGCCCGTGCAAAACGCAGCCCACTCGGCCGCATATATGTGAACCAGGACTTAGTCCTGATTGCACCCTAGTGCTCAAAAGATCCAAAGGATTGAATAAGAGTGCAAAGGGCATGTGTACCCATATGGAAGAAAAATATATTTTAAAAATATTATTCCCAAATATATTGACATATATTTGAAATACTACAATTTTGGCCATATTCAATATATTTCAATATATATATATATATATATATATATATATATATATATATATATATATACTGCATGTTAAAATGCTTTTTTATTACAAAATATATGAAAAATATTTTTAAAAATACATTTCAAATATACTGTATGTCTTTAAAAATACAATTCTATATTTCTGGAATGCATTCACAAATATATGTTAAAATATATGTTAAAATGACTTTTTTATATGTTAAAAAAATCTGAAGAATATATTTAAAAATATATATATTTTTAAAAATATATAACACTAAGTGTGCGTCCATGACCTCCAACATGCTGACACGTTTCGAGGACTTGCCTCTTGAGTTGGCTTTGAGGAAGAAGAAGGTCCTCGAAATGCGTTAGTCTGTTGGGGGTCCAGAGTTCCCATCACGGACACACACTTAGTGCAGATCGGACCGAGCTGTTCCTATATGATGCACCTTTGACTGTATTGTCATTTTGTGAGTACAGTACCTACTTTTATCAAGTAATAAATACATTTTTTAAGATAATGCACTAGGCTGGTGCACCCTCTTTTTGTTTTTCTCTACTCTGTATATTTGGACTTCCCCGGTCATTTGAGGGAAGCAAGGCATGCATATTCCAAGAAATTCTCAATGTGGTCCCATCCCTTTGGAGTCCAACTCTAAGCACAGGAGTATTTGGGTTTGCCATTTTTTTACCAATGTCATATTGCACCTGTGCTGCCACTGTTGCCTACACATTGTTGATGTTTGCATCTTCCCCTGCCCTGAATTCACTAGGCAGTGGTGGCAGTGCATATGGCTATGTCCCATTTAAGCTGTGTGCGTGTAAACATTTGCACAAACATTTACATGCTATAGCATAAAATATGGTCAAAATCGTATCGTGGATGCAGATCTCTTTTATTTTGGTTTGTGCAGCTAAAGCCTAGATGTACACCAGTGGCATGGCCCCTGTGCATTAAATCCTGGCATTACTGGCCAGCCAGGAAGTACAAGTGACAAAATCTATGACAGCTTGAAATATGCAGAAACTCAACTCAGCTGATCATGACATTGGCCTATGTGTGCCAAATCTTGCTTTTTTTGGGTGCCCAGGAGGCACAGGTTCAACATCCAACCCCCAACATTCAGCAGTCTGTCAAAATCTATGATAGGCTGGAATACATGGTGGATGGACATTGTACCAAACAGTACTTGCATTTAGGATTGTATGCATTTAGAAGCGTAGGTCCTGAACTTAAAATTCCTGTGTCTAAAGCATAAGTCCCTGAACACATATGGACCTAAGCATCCAGCCGCCATGTATCTCAGCCCACCATAGATTTTAAAAAGGCTGATGACAGCAGAGTGCCTCCTGGGCATCCAAAAACACCAGGTTCTGATAATGGCCCTAACCACCCATGTGCATGCGGCCAAATACTACAGACCAAAATGGAGCTGTGTGAATAGGCCCATATTATAAATAATTAAAAAAATTCAGATCTGATCTGTATACAATGGATCTAAAACACAGCCTATTGTACATTGCAGAAGCCCTAATGCTGGGAGGGGGGACTAGAGAAGGGGGTACTATGATATAAATAACTGGACCAAACATGCAGTTACACTTTATTGTGAACCTGCCATAAAGAAATACCAGTGCTAGTTCGCGGACTGTCATGATCACGCTCCGGTGATGAGTACCAATCTGTCACCACTGTGACCCACCAACTGTAGGATCAGCCAAGCAACCATCAGAATGCAAATCAAGGTATTTCTTTTCTGGCAGGTTTCCACTCAGCACAAATAAACCAGCAGCACGCTACAACATGCAAATCCACCTTACATGTACATGTTTTTCTTCCTTAGAGATTAAAAGAACTGAAACAAAGAGAATTTGCTCGCAATGTGGCTTCCAAGTCGTGGAAAGATGAGAAGAAACAGGAGAAAGCTCTCAAACGCCTCCATCAGCTCGCTGAGCTACGCAAGCAAACCAACTGGTAAGAATATCACATGAAATGTCTTTACATTGGGAGCAGCTCAAACCTCGTCAGACAATGGAACCTGATTGCAGTGTTTTCTTATTTCAGTTATGGCATAATTAAGTTATGTCTAAAGTATTTCTCATGCTGTGTGACATAACATGATTTAGCTCAATATATTCTCTGCAATTAAAACTGCATTCACTGCAGCTAGCGAGAAAAATAATGACATCGGAGGGGGCGGAGACAGAGGAGAAGATATGGCAAGAAAAAACAATGTTTGTAATATGCTGCTAGCATGACAACTATTTCCAGTGACAATGTTGTTGCCAAAAAAACTCTTTAATAGTGGCCATACACACTTCTATAGGTGATTGATCTCTTTTCTGATCAGTCTATTCTGGTAGGTATTATCTACATTTGATCAATATTGCAATATAGGGAAAGTAGATTGCGATAGTTGGAAAATATGATAGCGAGATTTATTGATGTCATCTCTGTTTTCACCATGCAATGTCATAATCTGATCAATCAAAATACAATCAAATTCATGAACAAAGTGTCTCAGTACTGCAGAACAATCCAACACGAATAATAATTTTCTGCCCTGGCCAATCAACTCAGTTTGAGTGAATCTGATCTAAAATAAGTCTAAATCTATTGAAGGGAAGTTATGCCGATTCGATTGTTTTGCCAATTTGATTGTTTTGAAATTGCACATTGATCAGATAATAAAATTGGAGCAGGTGTGGCCACCATAAAGCAGCTCTCTCCAAAAGGAGAGGTAAAAAGGAAAGGTATAATACTAACTTTTCTGGATGTCTGTGTTTGCCGTCTTCACTCTATTGAAGCACAACAGAATCCATGAGTCTTTTCAGCATTTGGGTAGTGTTGGAAGCCTGTTTCCACCGCCAAGTGTGGTGGTTCTTTCCTTCAGCCCCTACATTACTACAGGACTCAGCAGTGATGTAGGGGGATAAGGATAAAACCACAATGCATGGCAGGGGACACAGGTATTTAACACTACCGGAAGTGTCTAATGCTAAAGATTCTAAAGGAGGCTGTAGTGCTTCAGCAGAGAAAAGACAATTACCTGAAACACAATGGCTACACCTCTGCAAACAATAAACGTACATCATTGGATTCAGGTGTTCCAATCACCTCCATGGCCACAGGTATTAAATCAAGCACCTAGGCATGCAGACTGCTTCTACAAACATTTGTGATAGAATGGGTCACTCTCAGGAGCTCAGTGACTCCAAGCGTGGTCCCGTGATAGGTTGCCACCTGTGCAATAAGTCCATCCATGAAATTTCCTTGCTACTAAATATTCCACAGTCAACTGCTAGTGGTAATAAAACAAAGTAGAAGCAACTGAAACAACAGCCACTCAGCCACCAAGTGGTAGGTCACATAAAATGACAGAGCGAGGTCTGAAGCACACAGTGCCCAGAAGTTGCCAACTGTCTGCAGAGTCAATATCTAAAGACCTCCAAACTTCATGTGGCCTTCAGATTAGCACAACAACAGTGTTTAGAGAGATTCGTGGAATGGGTTTCCATGGCTGAGTAGCTGCATCCAAGCCTTACATCACCAAGTGCAATGCAAAGCGGCAGATGCAGTGGTGTAAAGCACGCCGCCACTGGACTCTAGAGCAGTGGATACGTGTTTTCTGGAGTGACAAATCACGCTTCTCTGTCTGGCAATCCGATGGATGTGTCTGAGTTTGGTGGTTGCCAGGAGAATGGTACTTGCTTGACTGCATTGTGACAAGTGTAAATTTTGGTGGAGGGGGGATTGTAGTGTGGGGTTATATATCAGGGGTTGGGCTTGGCCCCTTAGTTCCAGTGAAGGGAACTCTTAAGGCATCAGCATACCAAGACATTTTGGACAATTTCATGCTCCCAACTTTGTGGGAACAGTTTGGGGATGGCCCCTTCCTGTTCTAACATGACTGCGCACCAGTGCAAAAATCAATCTTCATAAAGACATGGATGAGTAAGTTTGAGGTGGAGGAACTTGTCTGGCTTGCACAGAGTCCTGACCTTAACCCGACAGAACACCTTTGAGATGAATTAGAGTGGAGACTGCGAGCCAGGCCTTCTTGTCTGACATCAGTGCCTGACCTCACAAATGTGCTTCTGGAAGAATGGTCAAACATTCCCATAGACACACTCCTAAACCTTGTGGACAGCCTTCCCAGAAGAGTTGAAGCTGTTATAGCTGCAAAGGGTGGGCCAACTCAATGTTGAACCCTACGGACTAAGACTGGGCTGCCATTAAAGTTCATGTGGGTGTAAAGGCAGACGTCCCAATACTTTTGGCAATATAGTGTATCTGTGATCAGGACTGATCTGCATATCTTTGGTTGTTGAGGTTCCCTGTTATGGTAGCACCCCTCTGGCAAGTGATACTTGCTTACCACAAGCTCAGTGTGTGAACATCAGCCTTTTTTCACCAATGCTCCTGTTGGTGAAGATGGGTTTCGCTGTGTGTTGGTACCAGGTTGCAGATCGGTCCACCAAGGGGTGAGCGGGGACAGGGAAGCTATGATTTGGAGACATTACACTAGGAAGCGACTAGAGCAGGGGTAGGCAACGGGTTGCCTACCTCTGGACTAGAGGATGGTCAGTTCTAGGTAGAGGTTGGCAACGGGCAAGGCAACAAAAGAGTGGTCAGGATAATCTGGGTCAGCAAAAGGCAAGACAGCAGAAGAGTGGGTAGGATAATCTGAGTTGGCAATGGGCAAGACAGTATAAGATAATTTGCATGCACCGTAGATGTGCATTGGGGTCAGCTAATAAAGGCCTCTTGACCCTCCCCCCTTTAGGGAAAGAGAGCCTTGACTGCTGGAAACATGGCATCACTGTGGGAGTGAACGTAACACAGGGCGTTTAAGTGGCTCCGTTGGGATTGGCTACTGGTTGGAACCTGAACTCAAGAAAAAGGCTATTCTGGGGCATATCCCACTAATCTGAGGAGATTCGGCTGTCTGATTTAGCGCAGACCACTATCCCACCTGTTGCCATGCTTTGTCATTGCTTTTTGATTGATTTCCACCTTACCAGTGATTGATGTCGCTTTATGTGCTATACCCTCAAGTTAAATTCTGGGGTCACTCTAATGCCTGTCTGGCTCTGAAGGTAAGGACATGCCTCTTAAACTATGTAAGTTTATGTTTCCTGGGTGTTCATAGTATAACTGTCACTGGCATTGTTGTTTAGTACATTTGGAAAGTTCAGTAAAGCTGTAGCCCTTTTTACAACTTAGTCAGCATTCGTGTCTTTTTTCTCTGGGGGGGGGGGGGCTGGTTGAACAAGGTATTGGTTTATTAGTTGGTCATAAATAGGCATATGCTTCTCAGCAGTCAAGTAACATGCATTATAACGCTTGTCATGACTATTAGACATGTGCGTTTTGTAACAAAACAATTTTAGGATGAAAATTTGATTTTCAGAGATTTGGATGTATACGAATCTCTGAATGGACATAGTGAAGAATGTCATCGAATCTGAAAAAAGTTATAACAAAATTAACAAATGCATTTGTTTCACTTGATATGATAGTAGTTTGGGCCCATGGAGAAATTAATACAATTTACAAATTTTTTGATAATTCGGATTCCAGTAAAGCTGAGATTTAAATTGAATTTGTAACTGTCACAGTCAGTCAATTCGGTTCCTCAATCTATCGCAATTCTTAGGTTTGAAATATTCAGGGCCGCCGCATTTTGCATTATTTATTTCACTGCTTCCGAAAATATTGAATAGTTTTGATATTATTATTATACAGGATTTATATAGTGCCAACAGTTTATGCAGAGCTTTACAATATACGGGGAGACAGTACAATTACAATACAGTTCAATATAGAAGAAATACGAGGGCCCTGCTCATGGAGCTTACAGTCTAGATACAGTGGGGCAAAAAAGTATTTAGTCAGCCACCAATTGTGCAAGTTCTCCCACTTATAAAGATGAGAGAGGCCTGTAATTGGCATCATAGGTAGACCTCAACTATGAGAGATAAAATGAGAAAATAAATCCAGACAATCACATTGGCTGATTTGGAAAGAATTTATTTGCAAATTATGGTGGAAAATAAGTATTTGGTCACCTACAAACAAGCAAGATTTCTGGCTCTCACAGACCTGTACCTTCTTCTTTAAGAGGCTCCTCTGTCCTGCACTCATTACCTGTATCAATGGCACCTGTTTGAACTTGTTATCAGTATAAAAGACACCTGTCCACAACCTCAAACAGTCACACTCCAAACTCCACTATGGTGAACACCAAAGAGCTGTCGAAGGACACCAGAAACAAAATTGTAGACCTGCACCAGGCTGGGAAGACTGAATCTGCAATAGGCAAGCAGCTTGGTGTGAACAAATCAACTGTGGGAGCAATAATTAGAAAATGGAAGACATACAAGACCACTTATAATCTCCCTCGATCTGGGGCTCCTTGAAAGATCTCACCACGTGGGGTCAAAATGATCACAAGAACGGTGAGCAAAAATCCCAGGACCACACGGGGGGGACCTAGTGAATGACCTGCAGAGAGCTGGGACCAATGTAACAAAGGCTACCATCAGTAACACACTACGCCGCCAGGGACTCAGATCCTGCAGTGCAAGACGTGTCCCCCTGCTTAAGCCAGTACATGTCCAGGCCCATCTGAAGTTTGCTAGAGCGCATTTGGATGATCCAGAAGAGTATTGGGAGAATGTCATATGGTCAGATGAAACCAAAATAGAACTGTTTGGTAGAACACAACTGTTTGGAGGAGAGAGAATGCTGAGTTGCATCCAAAGAACACCATACCTACTGTGAAGCATGGGGGTGGAAACATCATGCTTTGGGGCTGTTTCTCCGCAAAGGGACCAGGACGACTGATCCATGTACAGGACAGAATGAATGGGGCCATGTATCGTGAGATCTTGAGTGCAAACCTCCTTCCATCAGCAAGGGCATTGAGGATGAAACGTGGCTGGGTCTTCCAACATGACAATGATCCCAAACATACCGCTCGGGCAACGGAGTGGCTTTGTAAGAAGCATTTCAAGGTCCTGGAGTGGCCTAGCCAGTCTCCAGATCTCAACCCCATAGAAAACCTTTGGAGGGAGTTGAAAGTCCGTGTTGCCCAGCGACAGCCCCAAAACATCACTGCTCTAGAGGAGATCTGCATGGAGGAATCGGCCAACATACCAGCAACAGTGTGTGCCAACCTTGTGAAGACTTACAGGAAACGTTTGACCTCTGTCATTGCCAACAAAGGATATATAACAAAGTATTGAGATTAACTTTTCATATTCACCAAATACTTATTTTCCACCATAATTTGCAAATAAATTCTTTCCAAATCAGCCAATGTGATTGTCTGGATTTTTTTTCTCATTTTGTCTCTCATAGTTGAGGTCTCCCTATGATGCCAATTACAGGCCTCTCTCATCTTTTTAAGTGGGAGAACTTGCACAATTGGTGGCTGACTAAATACTTTTTTGCCCCACTGTACATGACTAACAATTCCACCCAAAATATCAAAATCAAAATATAATACATAGCAATCTCAAAAAAACTGCCAAATTTTTCGAATCCAACCAACGAATAAATGAAACAAATTCTGGAATCGAAACAGTTCAACATAAGGAATATGATGAAATGAAATTCTTCAATGAACGAATGAACCCAAAACAAAACGAATATTTCTGGCATGCACATGTCTAATGAATTTTATGTGTTTTGGTGTGAAAGAGGCTTATGTGTTTTGTTTTCATCTGAACAGTGCCTGGAAACAGTTGTAAGTCATCCGTTGCCTACCATTTGCTCAATACATTGGTTGTAAGTTTTTCACTTGAATGCATACCAACAACGACTGTCTGTCTCAGGAATAGCTAATCACACAAGACTAGTTGTGAAAAGTTTTTGAATAATGTAAACTTGTAGACAGTTTTAAAGGGAGGATTTACATCTGTTCTCAGGCTCTCAAATCTCAAGATGGCTAGAAAATTTCAATAATGCAAATCAAGGCAGATGACACATTTATTGCTCTGTGTTCTGCGCACACATATGCAGACTGTAATGCTGTAGAAAATAATATATAGCAGAAGAGACAGGTGGGGAAGATGAACAATGCCTTTTTTTCAGTTATAAAGCTTTTTGTGCATTTTTGAAGAGGGATTTCATGCCCCGACTCCTGTATGGATTAGACCAAGCCCTATATTTGTCCAGTTTGCATGTGTCTTCTGTAAAAACATTAGGCAGTGGAAGTGTTTGACATCACACACAATAATGCTAGGAGGTTGTGAATGAAAGTTGAGTCCTTTTCCTTCTACCACACATAGTATAGTCATACAAACCATTAATAGCAGAGAGAAGAAGTGGAGTCTGCAGACAGAGGAAAGTAGTCAGCTATGGAGAAGTGAGTGAACAGGCCAGGTACAATGAAAATAAAAAGAATGATTTAAACTAGGAATATAGTACAGATTGCACTACAGTACAAATCAGTGCAATGCGTTATATAAAAGCAAGGCAGCAAAGCCAGTTTTGGTGCTGGAGGGCTTTGCATAGCAAGTCCAAAGCATAAAACAAACAAGACATCTGCTTGCCCAAGCAGCTAACTAAACTAAAGTCAGTTCTTGACCAACAGGGTGCCCCATAACAGGTTACTCAAAAAACACAGGCAGCACCTTTACATTTTTGTGTTCTGTCAGCAGTCAGCCTTTTCACCCAGCTGAAGGCTCCTGGTGGAGAAGTCAGCTCAAATACAGTATATAATGGAGAGAGAGCGCTCTAAGCATCAGTCAGATCCAGGGGCGGACTGACCATTTGGAAACTCAGGCACTGCCCGAGGGCCTGGGGTCAGTGTGGGGCCCCATGAGATGCCCCTGGTACCTTTTGCATAGGCTTTTTTGAGTTTGGGCAAGGACACAGGGGCCCCATGATCCCCTATTGCCCGGGGGCCCCATGAGTTGGCAGTCTGCCACTGGTCAGATCACATCTATAAAGGAGAGAGAGAGAGTCCTGGGCATTAGTTAGATTACATAAATAAAGGAAAGAGAGTCCTGGGCATGAATTAGATCACATATATGAAGGAAAGAGAGTCCTGAACATTAGTTAGATTACATATATAAAAAAGAGTCCTGGGCATTAGTTAGATTACATAAATGAAGGAGAGAGTCCTGGACATTAGTTAGATCACAAATATGAAGGAAAGAGAGTCCTAGAAATTAGTTAGATTACATAAAAAAAGGAGAGAGAGTCCTGGGCATTAGTTAGATTACATAAATGAAGGAGAAAGAGTCCTGGGCATTAGTTAGATCACATATATGAAGGAGAGAGAGTCCTGGGCGTTAGTTAGATTACATATATGAAGGAAAGAGAGTCCTGGGAATTAGTTAGATTACATATATAAAGGAGAGAGAGTCCTGGACATTAGTTAGGTCACATATATAAAGAAGAGAGAGAGTCCTGGGCATTAGATCACATATATAAAGGAGAGAGAGTCCTGGGCATTAGAGCACATATATAAAGGAGAGAGAGTCCTAGGCATTAGTTAGATCACATATATGTAGGAAAAAGAGTCCTGGATATTAGTTAGATTACATATATAAAGCAGAGAGAGTCCTGGGCATTAGTTAGATCACATATATAAAGGAGGGAGAGTCCTGGACATTAGTTAGATTACATAAATAAAGGCGAGAGAGTCCTGGGCATTAGTTAGATCACATATATAAAGGAGAGAGATTCCTGGGCATTAGTTAGATTACATATATAAAGGAGAGAGAGTCCTGGACATTAGTTAGATTCCATATATAAAGGAACACATTTGTTTTCTCTTTATCAGTAATCAACCCTGGAAGCTCTCACTGTGTATGTGGGAAACCTAGGAGACACATTGACACCGTGCACCATCTTGCAAGTCTGTGATATGCCTTGGTGTTCCACATGAAAATAATCATATATCATAAGGGAAGGTAGGCACCCTGTGGTCTTCCACATCAGCATACTGAACAAAAGGCTGGTTTACTACACCAATGCTTAAATGGGACACAGCCCGTACCTTTCTAAAATCGGGTTTGAGAAAGGTGGGCTATGGCCCACTGAAAAATTGGTGTAGAAAAAACAGCTTTTTGTTAAGTATGCACCTGTGGAAGACCCCCCCGAGTGCCTACCTTCCCATACAATATACAGTATATGCACACACATACTGTACATACATGCAGGCACACACTGTTTTATATATATATATATATATATATATATATATATATATACACATTATACAGTGCAACCCCTTTAAGAGGGGGATATTTTATTTATAGGTAAATAACTGATTGATTTTCTTCAACAGAGTCATAATTAAAATTTCCCTTTGAACTGTCAAAAATATCCTTCTGCAGATGAATTGTGATCGCCCATATTAAACAAACACTTCTTGACACTTGTTATATGATAGCTAATAATGCTGATAGGTCGTCCTCCTTACCAGTAATTAGAATTACTCATAAAGGAGCCACTTATAATGGTGACCCTTGTAATAACACTAATTACCTGCTTGTAGTCATTCACATCTTGGCAGATGTTCTGATCACACAACAACATTTGTTTTTCAGCATTCTCAGATGTATTTATAATTACATGTCAAGTTTAACAATGATTGACACAAAATTCCCATTCTTAATGATTGCTTTATAATTACTTGAATCTTTGAACTAGCATGAAGTGTAAGCCCAAGGCACACCTGTGTGTATATTCAGCTCTGATACTTATAAGAAAACTTCTAAGAACCCAACTCCATGCAAAACTTTTGGTTTTTATTTTAGTGTTGGAAAAATTGCAAAAGGGTAGAAACTTCTGACCTTTAATTGCTGGTTGTGTCCCTGCTTGGGAATAGGGATGATCCCAGGTGTGTTCAGATCTTTGTCCGAACCCACCTGAGCAAGCCTGCCAGGAAGCTTTCCTGGTCCTTGGCCAATCATAAGATGCCAAGGCAATCCCTGCCACTCAGCTGCACATATACAAGGCCCACTTATGTCTGGTCAAGGACTTTGCCAGCTTCCTAGTGGGTTTCCTCAGGTGTGTTCGCACTAGGACCCAAACACCTGAGTTCATCCCTGCTTGGGCAATTTGTCTTCACATCCTATCTACTTGACTGGGCTAAACAGGAAATGATAGATAATCTCTCCACTACCTCTCTATTTCATGATGTCAGGCAGAAAAGGAAATGAGGTGAAATTTCTCTATTTCTTACCTAATGGAGGACAGAACAGGAAATGAGGGGAACATTCTCCATTGCCTGTATATTTGATGGATATTAGACAAATAAGTAAAATGAGAGGAAATCTCTCTACTTCCTGTATATTTATCAGGTGTCAGACAGAACAGGAAATGAGGGGAAATCTCTCCACTTCCTGTCTATTTAACGGATGTCAGACAGACTAATGGAGGACAGAACAGGAAATGAGGAGAAATTTCTCCACTGCCTGTATATTTGATGGATATTAGACAGATAAGTAAAATGAGAGGAAGTCTTTCTACTTTCTGTATATTTATCGGATGTCAGACAGAACAGGAAATGAGGGGAAATCTCTCCACTTGCTGTTTATTTAACGGATGTCAGACAGAACAAGAATAGAGGGGAAATCTCTCCATTTCCTGTCTATTTAACGGATGTCAGACAGACTAATGGAGGACAGAACAGAAAATGAGGAGAAATTTCTCCACTGCCTGTATATTTGATGGATATTAGACAGATATATAAAACAAGAGGAAGTCTCTCCACTTTCTGTATATTTATCGGATGTCAGACAGAACAAGAAATGAGGGAAGATCTCTCCACTTCTTGTCTATTTAATGGATGTCAGACAGAACAGGAACTGAGGGGAAATCTCTCCACTTCCTGTCTATTTAACGGATGTCAGACAGAACAGGGAATGAGGGGAAATCTCTCCACTTCCTGTCTATTTGATGACAGAACAGGAAGTAGGAGGAAATTTCCCTGGTGGTAACAAAGGCAAGCAATAAAACACATTTCCAATTAGTAAGGAAGGTTTACAACTTCTGTCAGGATTGTATAGCTGTATGTGTCCCCACATGGCTACACCATGTTTGAATGACAGAATAGGAAATGAGGGGAGATCTCCTCAATGTTAACACAGATGTTTTTTAAAGTTTGAAAGAAAGATGTCAGCAATACTTAGACAGCATTTAAAATCTGACAGGGGTTCTAACCCTCACCCACTCTACCTAAAGCTAAAACAAAAAAGGTTTTCACTGGTGTTAATGTCCTTCTAAGAGTTCCATCAAGACCACAAATACTTTAGCACCAACTATCTTCATTATGGTGGACGTTCAAACTGGTGAAAGTAGTTTGCTAGGCTCCCTTGTCATCTAGTTATTCATTCCTATGAAGACTGTCCCTTACATTCACTTTGCCCTGCAATCTGGTTTGAACTAATTGAGTCTAAGGTCTATTCTTTCATGGCAAAATTCCAACCAAAATTCCAACCCTGCTGTACAATAGCACAATTTGGCCACAACTCAGTCAACCAGACCTCTGTGTTACTCCCTTAATTTCTGGGAGTACTGCCTATTTTTACACTTATAGCGTATTTTTTTCTTTGGCATTTTAGAACATTTTAGAGGAGAACTAGGGTCAAACCATAAAATCACAAATTTGATGTAAGCTACCCATACCAGTAAGAACTGGCTCTCCATTGTATCCCCTGCAACATTTTGCAAATGCCCATTGATCCTGCTAGCAGAATAGTTGAATTTTCACCTTTGATAGGGTGACAGAACTCTTCCTTGTTTGGTGAAATCATTGCAACATTGTAACCCTTGCTGCTTTTGTCTCTGCTTAGAGATTGGCATCACTGATCACCATATCAGTGAATACCAAGACGTAGCAGTGCCCAAAGCACTTTAGATTGACAGCCCATTGCTCTATCTGCAGGAACATGCATTGTGTGTCAAAAGCTATGAATACATATGGAAATATTGAGAACTCAGATAGAAGAACTTGTGGTAACAAGGTTATGAGGCCAGGAGCCAGGGCAGGTGAATGGTCAAATTCCAAAGCCAAAACAACAATTTAAAAAGTATATAGGACATCTATTGGGTAAACATCTTTTTTAATTTCATCAAAGTATGCTGCCATATTTTGTCAAACAGAACCTTTTTACCTTCCCTTAGCACATAGAAAATGTATTCTGTTAATAAATTATTTTAGTGTATCTATCTGTTTTTGGATACTTTGGTGGTTAGAGCTCTATCAGGGTTTTACATTTTGTCTGTGTCCCAGCTAGGGAGATTCACCCTCTCTGTTAGTCTTGATGTCACCACAATTGAAAGTGAGGATAATTCCCAAAATTTTGGTTTTTACCAGAAAAGAAATAGAGTCGGCACCTTTTAAATGGTATCTTGTTTGTGAATCTCAGCTAGGGAGATTCACCCTCTCTGTTAGTCTTGATGACCATTGTCACCACAATTGAAAGTGAGGATAATTCCCAAAATTTTGGTTTTTACCAGAAATAGAGTTGGCACCTTTTAAATGGTATCTTGTTTGTGCTGGAGACCGCACTATACTGATTGGATCAGTCACTGGTCATGGGTGGGTGGTTATGTTGGCGAGTAGGAAGGAAATCCTCCAGTAGGTTGCACCCAGTATTAGATAATGGTGATGAACCCACTTGGGGCTTGGACTGCTGCCTTTTGTGGTGCGGCCTTATGGTCGTTTCCACATGTAGACTTGGAAAAGTAGGAAGGAAGGAGAGCCCGGTGTCCAAAAGAATGCAAATTTGAAGGTTGGTTATAAGATGTTTATTGAAAGTAGTAACAAGTACAAGTACATCAAGCCAACGTTTTTCGGCGGAAAGGATTCCTCCTTCTTCTGGGCTATCCAGCAAGCATGAAAAAAATACACAGAAAACAGATTTTTAAAAACGAGATATTAAAGCAAAAAATGCAAAAATGCAAAAAGATATTATCCAAAGTATATACAGTATATGTTATAATACTATAGAAAACCCTAATAATCATATATCAAGAAATAACAATTACAATAAAAATTAAAATACTGATAATAATAATAATGTTCGACATCTCTTAAATGGAGATGCTTGTTCTGGTCCCAGCTGAGACCATCTACAATTTGAGAAGATTTCTGTCACTCCATATTGTGTTTTCAGTACTGGAAGTGAGGGTAAATGCTTCACTAATAGTGGTATTAACCATATTATAATATATATCATAATTATACTTTAAGCAATAGGGAGGGTTCTTTCACTTGTAAAAATGTTTCCAAAACTTCACTGGCTGCCTAGATTTTTTCTTATGAAAAAAACATTGATTTTTGTAGCAAGAATATAAAAATAACAAATATTACAAACTGAACTACACTTTTTTAGAGTAACAAATTATAAAATTTCATCATTGCAGCACCTGCATTTTTTTTATATCATTTGGTATGCAATATTTGTGATTAACTTTATTATTAAACCATAATTGAATTAACATAACAAAATCATTTTTATCTTCTCTTTTCAGTGTTGCTGATGAGGGGCCATTATTTAAAGCACCCAGATTAAAAGGACCACAGGAAGATATTGGTTCAAACAGAGATGACAGAACAGCAAGCTCAAGATGTGTAGTTATGTGCAGCAGAGACGCTATCACCAGCAATGTTGAGGAGCCTAAGCAAGACATCTTAAATGATCGAGAAGTGCTGAAAAACAGCAGCTGCTGCTACACGGGGAATCAAACCCAACAGCCTCCCTCAAACAGCAGCAATGTCAACAGCAGAGCAGGAGTCTCTTTCTGCTTCTCGAAGAAAGCATTACTTAAACTGGATTCATCGGCTTCTGTTTTCAATGAGAGCACTGAAGAAGCAAATGAATGCAGCCAATTTTTCCACCACAAAGAGAAGCAAATGTCTGTAAGCTTTAGACACTATGCACATGTCAGCGAGACGGCAGTGGAAAACAGCTCTTCTTCTCAGCAAGATGAAACAGGCACGTCCCTGGCAGACAGCGTGGCTGAAAATGCAGAGAAGTTTAAGGATGACAAAGCCAGTCAGGAAAACACAAAGGAACAGAGCGAGATTGCCCAATCAAACATAACAGCTGAAATGCAATCTCCAGACACCACTTGCACAGATCAACCGAGTCCAAAAGAAGTTAATGTGACTACAGAGACTGAGATCACTTCCAAAACTCCAACTGAGGTCCATTGCCAAGCTGAGAGCTCAGAACAAGAGACTTGTTCCAACAAGCACACAGTCGCGGATGCAATATTACTCGAGCATTTGTCCAATTTGCTTTCTCAAAAACATGGCGAGGCAGAAGGAGGTTGCAATGAGGGAAACTCAATGGCACCTAATGACACTGCTCCAAATTCCATTGAATGCCCAACGCACTCATTAGGTGAATCTGTAAATACTAACACTCAAGCCAAAGCACTATCTTTTCTTAGTGTTTTGAGCAAAGATGGCAATACAATCCTCCAGTGGCCCACAGAACTTGTTTTGTTTACAAAAACCCAGCCTTCGATATCTTATGCTTGCAACCCCTTATATTTTGATTTTAAATGTTCTCAAAAAATTAAAACCAGGACATCAAAAGAAAGAGCGGCACAGAGTAAGGAGCAAAATGGTGAGTGTAAAAATGACTGTAACAGCAGAACCTCAGGTACCAACACAGAGAAAGGAACAGCAAATGAAAATGATGACTGGATGCCAAAGAGACAAAGATTTCATTTGGAGGATAGGTCAGAAAAACAAATGGAGCTTTCAGAAAATTATGAAATGGCAACAGAGGTTACACACAAAGCCAAGTTCAGTAACTTACAAGATTATAGACCTCAGATGTCTACTGATTTCAGTCATCCACAAAACTGTTTAGATAGAGAAAGGCACCATTCAAGAAGAAGGAGAAGGCAGTCAGATTACAGCAGTACTTCAAAATATATACCTTCAAAAAGAGAAATGAAAAGAAAGAGGGTTGTGTATGAGGACCAGTTGGACTTTAAGAACAAATGGAACAACTTGGATAAATCGAAGAAAAGAAAACACCCCGGCCGGTATGAAAGTGAAGTTAGTTGGGAAAGCAGTGATGGTAATAAAGATTCTGATAGTGATACAAGTTCAAGAGTATCTGCAAAGTCATCCCTTTCACGCATGTCCTCCTCTAGTTCTTCCATAAGCAGTAGTTCAACATGTAGGCATGAAGGAATTGTGGGCAGAACTTCAACTTATGTAGCTTCAGAGAGAGTAAGCTATACAGACATAAAGCACAACAGTGATATGTCTTCAGAAAGTGACTGTAATTCTGAAGTTGGAGGACAATTAAAATGTAGATGCAAAAATAAAAAGCACAAAACATCTGGTGAGACATCCAGGCATGGAAATGTGGAGCACCATGTTTGTTCTAAGCATAGCAAGAGTAGAAATCGGTCTCGGAAAACATTGGATGACACAGGAACAGAGCCCAGGATGAACAGATTACTTTCTGTGCAAGATAATGGTAACGAAAGCTCCAATATTGTAGACTCAAGAACCAATACTCCTAGTGCTTCCCTAAAAGAAACAATTCCTCCATTACATTTCCTCAAAAGTCCACATATTACAGAAAGTGATAATAACAGTGATATAAATGAGTGCTTGTATAACAGTTTTTTTCCAGATATACCTCTTTCCTTGAACTGTAGGAATAGTACTTCAGAAAACACAGTACAGCATACAATAGCGAAACAGACATTAATTTCAGAGTTTCTTTCAGAGGAAGAACAATCTACGAAGCAAGCAATGGATAATAATATCACTCATGGTATAGGATTGAATAACCCCTCTCATAATTTTTTTGACGTAAGTTTTCCTCCAGCAGATCCCAGTAATATAGCCCTCCCTTTGCATGATACTATAACAACTGAGACCAACAATGGTATGGATCCTGTACTAGAAATTTTGGTAGACAATACTGAATCCAAAGGCTCACAAACTTATAATGTCACTTTAACTGCAAATACTGATAATTCCCCTTTGGATGATATAAATCTTATAGAAACAGAATGCAGAATGGACGTTCCTGTTGTGGAACCCCAAGGACAATTGATCAGCCAAGTGCAAACTTTTATGCAAAGCCCTGACCCAGTTCACCTTAACTTCTCTTGTGGGTTGCCCTCTGTAAGATATACTGCTGGAACTGGTTCACCCAACACCAAAGAAGAACAAAAGAGACTGGGACCTCCAGATATACCTATGAGGCTGGGTCCTGTAGAAGGCAATTTTAAATGCTGTTATGAGAGCACTATGCAGGATTATAGAAAAATAGACCATAATCGAAGGTTTCACCATAAGTCATCGCCTCCTTCTTCAGCACAAACAACCCATAACATTTTCACCCGATGAGGTTGACAAATATAAACTATTGCAACTCCAGGCACAACAGCATATGCAGAAGCAGCTGCTGACAAAGCATTTTAAAGCTCTGCCAGCCAATGGATCTCCTGCTTTCTCAAATGCACAAACTGTTCAGCCTATCTCCGTCCAACCCCACCCATCCATCACCACCATCCACCATGCCTTTATGCAGCGCTATGCTGTGACAGCCTCCATGCATTCCCATGTCAGTCACTTTCCAATGCCACATCTGAATCCTTTGCCTCAGTCACAGTTTACCCCTATGCATCTTTCTTCATTAACACCAACCATTATTCCCACACATCCGCCGCTTATAGCCGGACATCCCTTGGCCCATCCACTACATCTTGTATCATCAGCTGCTATCCACCCCGCTCACTTAACTATTCAAGCAATTCCGCATGCCACCCTCATCCCAACTCTCCTTACACCCCATCCTAACACAGGAATGCACCCTTCATTACAATTGCACCCTTTAATTCACCCGTTGTTCCAAGGGCAAGACTTTCACCATCATTCTGGACCTAGTTACCCCCATTAATAGTTGCTACAAATAACTATACTGGTAACCTAGAGTATAATACATTGAGGATTAATTTCTGTTTGGTTGTTTTTTTTATTTCACCTAATAACTTTCTTTTTTATATTACTCATTATTTTTTAGAACATTTTTAACAATGACTGTTTTAAGTTGAATCCATGCCAACTTAGTTTCAAGAGTTAAAGGATTTATGTTTATTGTACTGCTTGATTGTTCATTTGATATGGTATATGATGTGAATTTACTATGATGAAAATGCAATTATTTTTAATAAAACATAAAATTATTGAGATGTCTACAGGACAACGCAGAAAAGTAAAAATAATTTCTCAACCAAATTTGTCTCTGCAGTTTTACTTCACTGACACTGATTTTTTTAACTGACCTCTTTCAGAATATGCTAGTTGTCTGGTATCCAGAAGCTCTACTTCCCACAAGTATAAAAGCTATATGATGAAACATGACAGCCAGAAAAAGAACATTTTTACAGGCCACTACACATTCATTTAAAGCTGAATTCGGAGCAAACTACTAAATACAAAGATGATTTAAAAAGTAAGGTCTCTGCTTCACCTCCTAAAGGATTTCTGTTTCTATCCATGCAATCAGTTCTGAAATTTACACAGCTCTACCTCACAGCACAGTCCCCATCTGACCTGATTTTTTCTGTTGCAGTTAAGCCAGACTTATAGGTCTCCCCCTCACCCCAGCCTGTGACTGGACAGTTAAGGAAAAGCAACCGACTGTTGAGCTACTTTATATTTCACTCTATTCTCTCCCTAATAGCGTTCTGCTTCTCGGCCAACTGACTCCTTGTTCTGCTTCTCCTTGTCCCTTTTTAAGCTCTACTGTACAGATGTTTCAAGCTTCCCCAGCTTCCAACACCTTGTAAAGGAGAATGTGCAAATGAAAGATATCAAAATACAGCAAAAAAAATGAAAGCCAAAATACAAAAGTACACTTTATTAAGCACAAAGTTGCTATTATATGAATTATTTAAAACATGCTCTGCACAGTCCTGCATCCAACTGAATGACTCATAAGTAACTATTCAGGTACTCCGGTATTCATGGATAAAGCATACACTTCCTTAATCTCTTGCCGACCGCAGATAGCCGAATGACGGTTGCACTGCGGCCGGCCAGTTCTGGGAGGACGTCATATGACGTCCTCCCAGAACGCTCACTCCTGCACTCCCCCAGGGGCGCGCACCCAGCGATCTCCGTGATCGCTGTGTCCTACAGCTGATCACGTGATATGGTAAAAGAACAATCACAGCTGTCTTTTACCACGTGATCAGCCATGTCCAATGACACACTGATCTCCGGGAAATGCAATTGCCGGTTATCGGCTGCACTTTCCTCATGCTGTCACAGCGTGAGGTAAGTACTGCTGAGAACCGGCAGTTATCAGAGGAGGGATCGGTACCGATCATCAGGGCACTGATGATCAGTGCCCTGATGATTGGTACCCAGCAGTGCCACCCACCAGTGCTGCCCATAAGTGCCCAGCAGTGCTGCCCACAAGTGCCCAGCAGTGCCCAGTGCACCCACCTGTGCCCACAGTGCCCACCAGTGCCACCCATCAGTGCCCATCAGTGCAGCCTAGCAGTTCCACCCATCAGTGCCACCCAGCAGTGCCTATCATCAGTGCCAGCTCAACAGTGCTGCCTATCAGTGCCACCCATCAGGATACAGAAAACAATAATAGCAATCAATGGAAAGGCAAACATCTTAATAGAAAATCTTTACAGGAACTGGCACACAGTACAGTTCCAAACAGGTCTTACAATTAGTAATCTTCTCCAGGCCCTTAGCCCAGCAGCTGCTGAGACCCAGGCTGCAACTGGATTTCACTAACTATCTCTCAGGGGCAGAAACCTCAGGAGAACTGGAACCTTGGAGAGAAAATAACATTCTGGAAAGGTTTCCCATACATTTATCACATCCCCAGCCAACTTCTGACCATCTCCTTCCAGGGATTGCTTGATAAATATTCATACTGATCAGTTGACTCTCTCTGCCCTATATTCTGGAAGCTTCTTTCAGAAACAGGTGGGAGGAATCAAACACACAGCTTAGGAAACCCTGGATAGACAAAAACAGTTGATCCCAGCTCCACCAATTACAGTGAAGCCAAAAACTAAATGTAGCCTAGCAGCCTAACTAGAGAAGGGTGCTACACTAGAAATGAGGGGGAGTTAGTTCTGTACAACTACAAATATGTCAGATTCCAATATGGATCACAACTCCACCAGTTTGATCAATAACTGCAGGTACATTTGAATTGCCAAATCCTAGATATAGAATACCAAATAGTAACTTCCCTAATGTTCCTTTAAACTAAAGATTTTTCATTATGTGTACAGTATGCTTTGTAGACATATTTTTCCTGGTAATACTGGTTGTCACACATGGGTGACAACAAATCCACTGGTACCTTCCAAGCCTGGATGTCATTTCATGACAATGCAACAAAAATGATGTTCTAAATGGATAGGATGTACTGCTACCTACCTGATTGGATAATGACAAAGAAAAAAAAGTCAGTCAGCCAGTATAACTTTCATGCTTCAGTTTCTTGCTAGTGTCCTAGGAGTATGGCCCTCTTGTCTTATCAGAGAGAGGATTTTTCTACACTTTATCAAAGTAGCCTTTTCTTCAAAGATTCATCAGATGCTGCAGAGCTATAAGAGCCCTCTTTACAGCTTTCTTGATAGGCTGGTCCTTGGCATAGCCACAAAGGGCATTCCCAGACTCTGCTGTGAGGAAGGCATGGGGCCAGCCTGTAGTGTGATCTGTGGGTACTCTTCTCTGCTACTGGCACTCTCCAGTCACTGTCCCAAGTAGGTTAGTTCCAGAGTGCTATATGGGTACACGGCTGTAAAACACCCTTCTGGTAGAATCCAGTCTCTGAGGCCTCCCTCAGAAGTATGCCCACCAAAGGACCAAGTCTTTCTGGTACAGTATATGCATATTGAACCCTGACTGGGCACCTTCCAGTGCTTGTACCATATGCCACGTAGGACACAATCCAGACCACTACTCGAAGAGCACCTGGGCTTGTCCTAGCTTGTCCTATGCACATGCGCATACCCCTCATGAATACGTGCTTGTGCACGAAACGTGTAGAGGAGGAGCCATACGCAGTGATGTCACTCTGCCGCTGAGACCACGAGGAGGTCCGGCGGCCATCTTTACTATTGTACGTGGTCAGTGCTCCTTTTTATGCTGCATGTATTATGATACCTACCCTTAATAAACGGTTTTGGTTTACTACACTATGGGCATCCTTCTTTTTGGCTCCTTGTGAGCCAATACCTTCCTAGAGCCCATACCCGGAGGACGCTAGCTGTGTGACAGAGTACCAGGGAGGAAGGAGATCTTTTGGACCTGACTAGGCTGACCACCTCTTAAAGGGGACCTCTGGCTGTATTTTATATACCATGCGCTTCATGATCTTTCTTCTGGTAAGTGTGCATTTTTAACATCTCTGACACATCACCTGAGCGGTTGTGAAGCACAGATCACCCACTTGAAGATATCTTTGATCACAATAAGCACGTTTGATCCATCATTTGGACTATTCAAATATTTTGCACTTTGATCAGTGGTTTATGAGATATATTTATTTGTCACGTGCACAGCACTTTTTTACATATATATGCATTTCTATTTTGTCACGTATCTGGACAATCGGATCAGTTTTATATGTTTTATGTTTTAAGCGCTGCACCTTTTATTGGATTATATATCCTGTGCTCTGCCTGAGATTTCTTGTGGCTCCTTGCAAGGTCCAGGGTCTTCCTCTCTGCTCCTGCCTTAGAGTGACCTGGTCACAGAGGTCCATTTATTCTCTGCTGCTTTAGTAATTGCTTCATGAGTACTCATACTGGGATTTTCTTCCCTTCTCATACTGTCAGTATAGTGGATTACAATTGAAAGAGCAGCGGTCTTGGGGGTCCTGCTAGTTCACAATCCACTAACAGCTCTGTGGTGACTTGAAGTGTCTCCGTTAGAGGTCCTGACACCTATAGCTCAGATAACCCTGCTAGAGTCTACACCCTCCTCGGAGCCTTTCCTAATTCTGCAAATAATTTATGAGCATAGCTGATTCAGAAAGCAAGGGACACAAGTGTTTTTCAATGCCCTTCCCCTCAACATCTCTCTTTCTGTTTTGCCATCAGTTTTGTCTACTTTTGTACTTTGGAACAGTTGAGGAGTACTGTACCTGTGTGAGAGCATTTTATTTCTATTAATACATTTTCTATTGTTTTTACATACTACACTATATAGTCTGTATGTGTTTTTTCCTCTCTTCTGTTTGTGCACAGCAGGAGTTCCCCCTCATGGGCACTGGGCAGTAAACACTGTTTAGATAGAGTAGCCATTTTATTTTATATTTAATTCTTGGACCACCCGCAAATCTTTCACCTTGTACATTGCATTTACCTGTGAGCTTTCACAGATGATGGGTATTTGACCCAATACAATTCCCTTGCACAGGTTCACTTTTTATTACCCTACATGGAGCCTTTCCTAACTCTGCAAAGCATTTTTGAGCATGTTTCAGAAAGCAAGGGATGCAAGCAGTTTTCTATGCTTTCCCCACAGTCTGTTTTGGCTTCAGCTCTGGCTACTTTGGAACTGTCAGTTGCAGAGGAGAAGTACTATAATCCTTTCTTGGAGGAATTTGTGCCCAAAGAGGTTCAGTCTGCTGACATAACTCCCAAGCTTAAGGATGTAATTTGTTCTCTATTGACACAGTGTGCACAAGGCTTGACCTGGAGCAACCAGTGTCCACACTTTCTATTGCCAAATTTGGGTTTCCTTAAAAATCACCATCCTGTAAAAACCTTCCTGGTACACTGTTTACTACTGGCCATTTTGTACACTGCCTGGCCTAATCCTAACCAACTATTTACTCTGGCTAAGAGTGTTTGTGAAGATACACTCCATTGAGAAAGAGTTCAATAATAGGTGGGTCATTCCCATTGGAGA